GTCCCGGAGCTGTTCCCGATCACGGGGCCCAGCCGTGATTACTCAGGTACCTGCTGCCACGGCGACTAAGTGAGCTGACCGCGTCAAAAGATCTCAGAAACAGGAAACGGGGCCCGTGGAAAGACCCGCGGAGACACCCGTCGAAACGCCTATGAAAGCGCAGTGTACTATTCGTCCAGCCAAAAATTGGCCTTTGACGAGGCTCGCACTTGATGAGGAACTGCATAGTTTTAAAACGGAGATGAGAGAAATGTTCTAGTCGCTTAGCAAACAGTCACATTGGTTCATGTTAAGGGCGATACATTGGCGGACAAGTTCCGTGCGCTGGATACTAAGGTCAAAACGCTGGACGCTAACTTCTGTGTTTTGGATGATAAGGTCAACGCGCCCGAACGATCTTTGGAGCCTAAACATAGCGCGTCCGCCTAAATAGTTCAGGATTTCCCTGTGGGACGTCTGGGGGTTCACAAGCAAGAAGGTGGTTCTTCAGCCGTTCATTCGTTCTCACTCTGAAAAGGCGCAAGTCATTTTGCCTCAGGAGACGCTTTCGGATTGTCATTTTGCCGGGGTACAAATCCCATGCTCTTTATAGAAATGGACGGAGGGGCATTTGCACGCTCGTGTCTAAGGGATACACCTATATCTCTCACAATCTTTCTATGGACAGTAGTAAGGTGGAACACTCATTGGTTGAAACTATTCTGGGGTGTAATTTCAAAAGTAGTGTTTTCATTCTTCATATTTGTAGTTCATCAAATGGCACGAGACAAAGGTCTGCGGCGATGTTGAGTAGGGCTGTCGCCAAGGCCGTTATCTCCTGGCTCGTGGTTGCGGGTTATTTCAACACTGCTCATAAGGCTTGGGGTTATTGGCGGTCGTCCCGTAAAGGCGATAATTCGTGGCAAGCGGCGACAAACTTGAACCTCACCCTGGCCACGGACCCAGCATTTCCGACCATAATGCCTAGCTCCTGCACGAGGAACACCACGCCAGATCTTACTTTTGATTAAAATGTTGAATCTGCTACTTCGCACAACTTGCACGTAGATCTGGGTAGTGACCATAATGTCCTACCTACCCATATCAGGGTAAAAGACACGCCCTTAAGAGAGTTTAGCTTCGCAGATTAGGATTATTTCTGGCATATTAGAAAATAACGCGCGCATGCTGAAGGCTCAACGCCAGCCTGGATCAATGGGCAAGGCAGCTCAAGGGAGACGTTAGTGAGGCGACAAAAAAAGATGCACACGGATTGCGAAACAGATAGGATGGACAGCCGCCTTGCGCAACGGCTAGAGGCCAAGAAATCAGTACTCAATAGGCGGAAGGGGCAGAGGCTCAATCGTTGGCTCTGGAAGAAAATTGCAGAACTTAACCGAACCATCGAGGACCACTGCCATACCCTCTCAAAACAGCAGTGGGATGAGGTGTGCAATTCTGTTGATGGCGAATTGAGAATAACAGGGAAGGGGAATTTGCTAAAGCACATTTGAACGAGTTGAATGCCCAAAGTAATGAAAGACAAGGCATTGCTAAACTGATACATGCCACCAGACAGTGATTCTGAAGACGCTATACAGGATAGTTTGGCTCACAGATATTTACCCATTAGCTCCTCGAGCTGTTCAGACTGTATACATTACACTGGACCCCGTGGCGCTGAGCTCAGAGAGTCCTTTACCACCAGCGCCACTTGGCAAGTTCTTCAAAACCTTAATGGACGATCGGCTCCGGGGCCGGATGGCATCTCTAACAGGGCCCTAGGGAACCTGAAAGACAAATCCATCAATATTCTTACCAATGAGATCAATCGCATATGAAGAAAAGGTTCTGTACCAGACTCTTGGAAAATGGCGTCGGTTGTCATCATTTCCAAGCCGGGGTGACCTCCAGGTTTAGCCAATCTTAGGCCCATATCACTAACGTCCCGTGTCAGCAAGGTGGCGGAGCATGTCATTCACAACCATGTCTCTAAATACATCGAGAAGAAAGGTCTTTTCCCTTAAACATGGTAGGTTTTGTCCATCTTTGTCCACACAAGACACAATGTAGCTACTCAAACATCAAATCATAGATGTGAACACAACGGACGTAAGAGGCATCCTGGGTCTTGACTCGGAAAAAGCGTTTGACAACATCTCTCGCGCGCGCATCCTAAACTCTGTTTCAGAGCTGAGACTGAGCGAAGCCTTTCACAGATACGTCAGCTCCTTTCTCGAATCCAAGACCACACTCAATATCGAGGACCTCAAGTTTTCTCCCATAGCACTGGGTCCTAAAGGCACGCCGCAAGGAGCGGTGATATCACCACTTCTTTTTAACATCGCTATTTGCAAGTTGTCCACACTGCTATCTAACGTGAAGGGCATTAGCAATACGCTTTATGCTGACGATATTGCCATCTGGTGTTCTGAGGTAGCGAAGGGGAAGTCAAAACAGCACTCCAGGAAGCTGTCGATCAAACGAAGCTCTTCCTTGCTGGCACAGGGCTGAGGTGATCCTCGAGTAAATGAGAGTTGCTTTTATTCAGGCCACGCAGAAAAGGAGCCAAGCCAAAAACTGAAAGCCTTTATGAGAGGTGGACATTTTACTTCACATTCCGAGAGCGGACGCTATTGGAGTGCTGGGCACAATTATAGAGTCGCATGGGTACAACGCGCAAACCATCGCTAAGATTTCAACCAAAACCGAGGAAATGATCATGTTGATTAATAGGGTTTTGAACAGAAAGGGGGGGGGTACTGAGAGAGGACAATATACCGAGGCTCTTTCATGCATTCCTCATGAGTCATATAACGGACGTTGCTACCACGCACTGATGGTATGGATTCGAAAAGAAGAAGCTGGAAACTCTGCTAATAAGAAGCATGAAGAGGGTGTTGGGCATCCCCGTGCGCACAAGCACTGAACAACTATGCAGCTAGGAGTTCATAACACCCTAGATGAGATCATTGAAGCCCAAGAGACTGCACAGCTATTGCGCCTGTCGTCTATACCGACTGGTAGGAAGATTTTGTTCGTCCTAGGTGTCAGTCCGGCACTTGTAGAGTATCACCGTCTTCAACTGCCGAATGACCAGCCTACTGCCATCCAAGTCACTCCGTTTCCGCGAAACGTCCATCCTCAGCACAACATTGGCAGGCGCCGAGCTAGGGCCATCACACTTCTGAAGAACATCAGCAACAATCCTAATTGAGTGCGTTTTGTCGGTGTCGCTCAGTACGGTCGCTCAGCTAGGTTTTCTGTTATCTCTGTGAATCATATGGGTTCTATTATCAATGCTGCGTCAGTTAAGGTCACTACTATCTCAAGAGTCGAACTGTTGGCTGAAGCGCTTGCCCTTTTTGATGACTGTAGATCGCAAATCTTCACCTACTCAAGGTCAGTGGTCAAGGCATTGACTTCCTGTTCCATCTGTGCTGAAGTATTTAAACCTCTAGAAAATACGACACTTTCCTCACATACCATTACCTGGTTTCCTGCACATCTCGAACCCCTACTCGACTCTCTAGTAAACCTGAATGACACTGCTCCCTCCCGGGCGCGTGCACTAACCCTCCGTGGTGGAGAAGACGCAGGTCCGCAGGTTGGCAGTGAGATGTTTAGGGACGCTTTACTTACATTCAGTGAAGTGGCTGAACACTATATATCAGTTGAGTAGGCGGTCATTTGCTGCTCCGCACAACAAGTTTTCTAGACCCCAGCCCATCACGTTTAGAATGCTCCAGATCAGGTCCTATCTAAGCTTATATTTCCACAGCATGGTCTCCTCAGAGGCTTTTGATTCTACTTGTCCTGATTATGGTGAGGTTAGTGACTTAGCACATATGCACTGGCAGTGCCCCTCGTTACGGGGCTCAAGTCGGCACGCAGAAGAGGATTGGGACTCTGCCTTACGAAGTTCAGAGTTGCTACCACAACTACGGACTGTCGAGAGAGCCCACGATTCGGCGGTGAGGCTAGGCACCACAGTTCCTACGTGGGAGCGGCCTGCGACATTGCTCTAAAAGTGTAGCGTTTCTCAGGACCCAATAAAGGTTTTTGTCTGTGGGTCTGTGTTTGCCTATATCCCGGTTAAGAGGATCATGGGCGAAGCGAAGCTGCACGGGAGGTGTGGGCCACTCACGTGAAGACCATATCCTCCAACCTACTCGCGCTCACGTGAAAGGAGGCCGGCAATCAAGGGCTACGGAGGACGCAGGCACGCTCTACCTCATGGAAACGTTGAACGCGTTAACATGGGGAGCATGGGGGAGGGAGCGTAGAACAGTAGACAATGGGGCAGGAGGGTACACATTTGCAGTGGAGGTGCGGACGCGGTACTGCTGTAGAGGTGTTTCGTAGCCTTTACCGGTGACCCGGAAAAGAGGGGTGAGCGTAGAGAGGAGCGAGAGCGGGAAGGGCACGCATGCGCTGAAAGGGTGGTCACAAGGCACACCGAATTGAGCTCGTTCCCAAGACGCTTCGCATCTAATAAAGTAGGTAAGGTCTTTTGCAATATTGCTTTTCTAAAAGGGTCCAACCGTCATCATGCTTGTGCTCCTCGCCGTTCTATTTCAATATGAAGGACAGCTGGCTCACTCAAATGATATTGAATTGTTTTTTAGACCCCCAATAAAGCAGGACGTCCCTAACATCATAGCTACGGCATTGTCTTAAGCACTGAGCTATGCAAGAACGGCACGTGCCTCGGTAGACAAAATATATTGTTGCATTTTTATTCTCCCATCAATCCATCATACAGGACAAGTTTTGCGGCAGCCTTGCTCAATAAAACCATGCCAAGTGGGTTGGCTCTTGCCGAATAAAGGCAATTCATCAAAACATACAAAGCTTCCAATTTATTCCGGAACTACATGTTGTAAAAGGACAAAGAATTTCGTGATTGTCTTCAGCGATGACAGTCGGCACAATATGTTCGACAGATTGTAGATTTGACATCGCCCTTCGAGATGACAGGTGGCCAGCGCTGATATAATATTTTGCCTATAAAGAGCGTAGTAGCTCTCAGAGTCAGTGCAATAATTGGAAATTGAAACTACAACCATGAGCCGCCTTCTTATAGTTTCCGTGCTGGCAGTGTCCGTGGCCTGCGTGGCCTCGTATCAGCAGACCATACAGTGGGGTGTGGGCTCTAACAGCTACGACCCATATGGCTACGGTGAGCATATATTTTTGTGAACTCAAATTTTTCACAGCGAAAGCTGTCATGAGATCCCAAGAGGGCTCGCGCGTGCGCCGTAGTTGTCCGCCGCCACCAATGTCCGTAATCACTATCGCACAAATAAGAAGAAAAAAACTAAATAAGAGCATCCAGAACAATGTGAACCAAACCCGCGTCCTCAGCTTGCCAGCCAAGTACTTTAACACAAAGCCACTACGGCACTTGAAACTCCTTTGCAGACTGGCCTAAAGTAGGCTTCTTCTCGAAAAAGTAATTGCGTTAATATGAGTAATGAAACGTTTAGAACAGCTAAGGAACAGCCAGGTGTCACATAATGCGAATTGCGCAACGAATGGGTCTTCGAAAGCTCTGACCCTAAGCAAAAGCTTCAATTTGTTCACCTATTATTTTGGCGCATACCCACGGCGGGGGATTGTGGGGATTGCAAAACATCCTTGCATATTTTTTCGTCGTCGGCAGCTGCCACACAAAAAATTGCACAAAGATCCTTGCGAGTGTGCAGCGGTACCATGCTTTTCCGAAAAAGGATAAAAAATGGCAGTGTGAATGACTGCCTACTACACAATGAATGATGGCGTAGTGGTACTCTGCAAGTGTGCTTACAGCAGCTACCCAAAGAGCGTTAAAAAGGTTCTGAAAGGCCACTCTTTCAGCCTTCGCTGTGACAGTGCTGTGCGTTTGGCGAAGGCCTGGCTGTTTTTCTTTGTGTATTCGAATCTGGAAGAAATCGGCTCATCGTTCTACAATAAATGTTTTGTGAGGAGCAAATAAATACAGTAAGAGTTTCTACAAGCCGTTTACTCCTACCAGAATTTTTCTAAAGTGAAAGATAAGTATGACTAGGACAAACGAAAAACCGTTGGGCATCGCTGTCTCGAGTGGTCTCCAACGGCTGTGTTCTCAGTTGTTTTGTTATTTTGTTCTCAGCGTCGTATACAAGCACGCGTGCCCTTCGCTGCGTTGTGAATGACGACGCGTCCATCCCGTCGCAGTCGGGGCGCCAGCACGCGCACATCAGTTCCTCCTGAAATCTTCCACATATGGGTATGCCACGGACAATTCTACAGGAGCGCCGACATAGCAAACGTGAGAGTGCTTGCACTCACCAGGCCGATGGAGCAGTCCGACAACAAAAACACGCCAGGAATGACGAGTGAAGGCAAGAACGGCGCGCCGGTGATTCGGCAGCCTTTCGAGCTACGCTAAATTATGAACGAGAACGCAAGCGCCGGTGGTGGGCAGGTACGATAAACCACGCCACCATGTGAAATCGTGATCTCAAGCGCTTGCAATAACGCCGCGCCGAACAAGCGCCGTTGCCGGCACGAGGGCATCAACGTGACGATTGCGAGAGCGCGTTCACCGTGGCGAACACCCGTTTTCGGCGGGAGTTTCTACAGCGGCATATTGGCTTCAGCTGCGACGTCTGTGACCATGCACCTGTGCTCCGAGAACAAGCACAGTGAATAAGGCATAGCGAAACGCATGTAACCACTCATTAAACTTCCCCATGACTCTAATCATGCGAGGTACAATGTTCAGCTTGTGAAATGCGCTGTGTGGTTAACACAAGCCAAGCTTTATGAAGAAGCACGAACAAGTAACCAACAATTCTGAACGGATTCAATGCCACGTTTGGTATTATACCACATTTGGTATTACGTGACGTCAAAGATTGACAAAGGTATTAACATGATTATCATGACATGCGAGCCATATAAAACAGGACTACATGCTACGCTTATAGCGTGCTCGTGGTCGTTTCGCTTACTTCACATGTACCAAATTTGACATTCCGTGACGTGTATGCACAACGAAGGTAAATGATGGGTATAGTCATGAAAATATTGATATGCGTTGTCATGTAATACATGACTGCGTGCTACGCTCATGACGCGCTCGCGGCCGTGTTGCTAGCTGCACATATACCAAACTCGGTATTACGTGACGGGAATAGACGACCAAGGTTAAGGAAGTGTCAAAACATGATAATAATGGCATGCGTGTCATGCAAAGCATGACTACATGCTACTCTCGTGGCACATGCTCGCGGCCGTTTCACTAGCTCCACATATACCGAATTTGGTATCACGTGTCGGGACTACACGATGAAAGAAGATGACACGTCCGAACATGATAGTCTTGACATGAAAATCATGTACCGCACGATTTACGTCCGCCTCGTAACGTTGTGATGCTTTTAAAGTGACATTTCAGCCTTCGTTATTTGTGCTTCCCTTATCATCAATTCCCACTCTACGTGAGATCTGCCAATTTTTGTTACTCTGACGTGATCCATCAGAAAAATATGTGCTAGAAGCAGTATCTCTAGGAATAGTTTTATGGCCGACTGCGTAGTGTGACGTATACGTGCTTGTATGTAGTGCACATTGCCAAACCGTTAAATATAAGTAGATAACATAGCAACAATAATTTGGTCAACTTAAGGCAGCTTTCACGTTTAGAACTCTAAGCTTATATGAGTGTCTCTGGCACCATAGACAGTTTGAATTCACATGCCTAAATTATTCGCAAAAATATCTAATTTAAGTAACGCTTTAGAACCGGCAGTCTTTTCTCCAAAGATGGCAACATAACAGTTCTGAAATGATAAAACAATATAACCATTGTATTTTTTTTACTGAATGGTGCGCGTATACCTCGAGGATTACGCTGAGGTATCTAGTATTAAAGTAACGCGCAAAACATTGTGTTAGAAATTATTTCGGTTCTTCATGGTTCACTAAAGCAGTAGACAATCTGACAAGAACAAGAACGCTCACGTGATGGACAAAAATACGGGAGGTATGGTGGCAGTAGCAGCCGTATATCTCCACTGAATTGTTATAAATATTGACACCAGATAGGCTGCAAAGAACGGCCTTGCTTTTGTGACCACCTTACTGCGCCGCTGGGAGGGGCGAGCGCGTCAAGTGAATGACAAAGACAACTTATAAATATTAGAGCCATCAGTGTGGCGAAAGGACGATAGCGTTGAGATCGATACCGTACGGTAAAACTATGACGCCCTCGCTCAAGCGTTACGAAACAGTGCTTTCAGACGAGAGGTGCGTAGATGGCACCCAAACGTTGCCAAGGGAGCGTCCATCTTGGAGGGTTAGATTTGCACAGCTACTTAATATACAAGCGCATAGGAACATTGACCTGATTCAAAGCTAATTTCTTGTATACGAACATTGGCTTAGTCACAGAAGTTTGTGAACGTTGGTAAGTCATGGGGAATTACGTAAAGAGTAGTTTTATGAATGATCGATCTCGTAAGTGCTATCGATGGAATTCTGCATGGTTGGTTTGTTTGGCATATTCTATTTTTAAAAAATGTGCAAAAGCAAAAAAAAAAGGCCTTATGCTATGCGTTCGTGATTGTAAGAAGTGAAGTTTTCGCGCATGGCTTATCAACGCTGCTAATTAAAGCTGTCAACTTCCTGCTTACAGGTAGCGGCGGATACGGTAACGGCGGATACGGTAGCGGTGGATATGGTGGCTACAGAGGCGGCGTTTCAGGAGATTACTATCCCTTTGCTGGTGGTCTTGGAGGGCTGAGCGTTTATGGAAACGGAGGCAATGGCGACAGCTTCGGATACGGATCCTACTATCCTTCGGGCTCTTACAACCTTCCAGGCAATGCACTAGGTGGTGGCTGGTATGGCCGTCAGCAACAGGTGCAGCTGTGGTAGTGTTGTGACGATGCTGTTTCGAAACACTCCTGTACTGTATAATAAAGACATCAGCCAACTTGTGCACTAACACAGGTACTGTCGTTTTTTTCGTGGCTAACTTTTAACACGAAACGCTGATCATTGACTCTCTTGAGCAACTTTTTCATGATACAAGCCGTGGGGTTGAAATATTTGCGAAAAAAAAGGGGCGCCGGAGAGTGCACAAAAATGCGATTTTACAGAAATAGGCCATTGAAGATGCGCCGTTCCAAATGGTACTTATTTGTGTCGTTTTTATTATCTCACTGTTAAACATTGTTAAATATTTAAGACAAAAAAATAGTACAAGAAAGTGTGGGTACTAGAGGAAAGCCCGTGCCAATAATTTGTACCGAACAAGCGTTTGCCATTCATAACCGTGTATGTTATCTATCAGAATATAATTAAACCTTTTTTTTTGCTATCCTCTACGGGCGAAGACACCTTTGTTCTACACATGTTTTCTCGGTGATGAAATTGATGGAAATCAGCTGTTTATCAAATAGGAACTTAATCTTTTGGGGCGGTCATCTGAAGTAGGGGTGTCCGATTTGTGAATTTCAGAACTGATTTGAATGGTGATGACATCAAATTGAATAAAGCAATATTGAATTCGTTATTGGAAACTTTCGTTGTGGTATTTTGTTGTTTCGTCCTGGTCGCCGTTCTTGCCTGTAGTGAGGGAAGCGTTAGCGTTGCACTGCTAAGCATGTGACTGAAGGCGTATTTTTTGGTATGACGTGAGGAACAAAAATTATTATGGGCGGTTAGACCATAGGATACAAAGAAATAATGCAAGAAAGTCAGATAATATATATATATATATATATATATATATATATATATATATATATATATATATATATATATATATATATATATATATATATATATATATATATATATATATATATATATATATATATATATATGTGTGTGTGTGTGTGTGTGTGTATTAAGAAAGGGACAACTTCTCCAACGCACTCACACATTCATGGGATTTTTCATACACACAGCACTTGTTCAGTAGCCCCCCCCCCCCCAAAAAAAGGGCAGTCAGTTTAGTCACTTTCAAGCAGCATGCACTGGGACAACACACATATGTTTGTCATGCATGTATTAGTATTACACACGACGCTTTTTACGCATCACGGTTACCTCACAACTTTTGGAATAAATACAATTAAGTTGATGGCGGCCTCTTCAACAGTAAAGATTTTATCATTCAATTTGTAAATCGCTAAAGACCGCTCACAAATATTTCAGTTTTTAATTGTGAAGCAATCCTTGGGGAACCGAAGGTATATTGAGCATTTTTATCTACTAAGCTTCCCGCTGAGCTTGAGTGTACTGCTTTATTCGGCGCCACTTCGTAAATATGCCGCCGTCGCTTCAGGTTGCCATAAGTAGGCTAATAAGATTTATCGGAGATTAAAACGGAAACCTTTCTGGCGCTTCCGGATCGGCAAAACTAAAATATTGCTACGATACTGAGGGGACAGGTGGAAGAAGAGAACAACGAGGTGGGCACGAGCGGTGATCTACCAGATCCCTGGACTCTTGCATTCATCATCTCTCGTAAATAAAGGCACCTCACCGTAACAAGATTGGTGGAGGTGTGGGGTACAGCGGAGCGACCCCAGGCGAACGATCACGGAAGCGCTACCTCAAGAACTACGCCAAATCCGCCGACTGGCTGGTCTACAACCGCTCTCTATGGATCCGATTGCTGACAGCGTAACCACGCACTCTTCGTCTGGCGCTACGTGGCCCCAACACATGGTACCACGAAGCTTCTCTGGGAGGGTCGGAGAAGATGTCGACGAATGGCTGAAACACTTCAACCGTGTGAGTAAGTACAATTGTTGGGATGCGGCCTCCCGGTTGTCCAACGTCGGATTGTTTTAAGTGTGAATACACTTTATAAGCGACCCCAAACCATCCACCGCCGTCGGCGGCATTCGCAGTCTTCTCTCTATCTTTAAAAGAAAGAGGACTTGGCGGGCCGCAGCGCGACGCTCTACCGAATAAGCCACGGACGCGACGCTGATATCGGTGTCAGTAACGCGCCTTATATCTTTAACGTCACTGCGCGCGTCCCCCTCCCCCTTCGCTCGCTCCTCCGTGTGATCAAATTGCGATTCCCAGGAACCATTACACCATAAAGGCGCCGTAATGTGATTAATAAATATAATAGTGCGAATTAATAAACACCCCTCATAGCATCACCCCGTGCATTCGCACTTAACCATGTTCACCCTCGGGGAAATGCTTGGGAGTTTTTTTCAAGGGAAGGGGTTTGTGTGGTTTGAAAACCACGAAGAAACAATAACAACCTGGGAAGCGTTTGAGAAAGAAATAGCGAGCTGCTTCGGGGACCCATTGATGAAGAAGAAGCGCGCTGAGTAAACTTTGATGCAGCGTGCTCACGTCCCTGGTGAAACATGCACAACGTATATTGAAGATATTCTGAAATTGTGCAAGTCTGTAGACCCACGCATGAAAGAAGATGACAAGGTTGGGCATCTCCTCAAAGGGGTTGCTGAGGACGTCTACAATTTCCTAATCGGCAAGACACCTTGGCGTCTGTAGCGGACGTAATTCAACACTGCCGCACGTTCGAGACCCTAAAGGCTAGGCGCATCACTCCCAAATTTGGTAGACTTGCCAACGTCACCACCGTTGCAAGTGTCGACGTCCCTCCAACATCATCCTGTGATCCTGCCTCGATGATCAGGCAAATCGTACGCGAGAAGCTTGGATGGCGTGATGTTGTCCACCCACCGAGGGCACATGCTAGCAACACCTCCCCGCCTTACGACGCAATGTGTGCTGCCGTTGATGCCACGCTATATGATGTGCCTCAATCAAGAGCACCAGAGCCCCCAACTGACAACCTACATCATCGCAGTGGTTTCCAGAATGCCTCCCGCCAACCACCTACAATGATGTCTTCGTGGGACGATCATGGGTACATGGCGCCTCGTGGAAAGCTTGGCGACGTGCGTGAGGCCCCTGTGTGCTATAAGTGCGGTCTCCGTGGACATGTGGCTCGATTCTGTGGTCAGAGGCGTCACCCCCAGCAGCGCTACTACAAGGGATCATCAGCTTCTCGACAAAACCGCTGGCACGGTGGTATGCGCTCGATGTGGGGCGCGTACGTTGGGGACAGCTTCCAGCAAACCACCCACAGTGATACATATGTGGGACGCAATTTCCGCCGCAATTCACGCAACTACTCGCCTTCCTCCGAGCGAAGCTTGACGCCCCCCGCAACACGCCGGTTCCGTTCCCCGTCTCCTGGTCGACGCGTCACCTCCCCGCCTCCGGGAAACTAGGTTGTGCGGCCAATGGAGATGAGGTCGCCGAACATTTTCCACTGCATCCACCTTGCCTCCACCCGTTTTTATGACGCTAAATAAGGTTCCCGTGCTTATCGATTGACTTACTACGATGGCTTTGATAGATACTGGAGCAGCTGTTTCAGTGATGAGTCTTAACTTTGAATTGCGGCTAGGACATAAAGTGGTGTTTCGCTGGGACAGTTGTGCATCATTTCGTGCAGTGAGTGGGGAGACGCTGTGCCCGATCGGTGTGTGTGTTGTTAGTGTCACGTTGGACGACAAGGTGTTCGAAGCTGAATTCGCTGTACTGACCAGCTCCACCCATGACATCATCTTGGGGATCGATTTTTTACGCGAGTGCAGGGCTACTGTAGATTGCGGTGCTGGCGAGATTATGCTATCGGCATTTACTGACGATCCTAGGTGCTGTCAAGGATCTATCACCGTCATTGAGGATGATTTCTTGCCACCCAACTAGATGAAGAACGTACGCGTTGACGCCTCTGCCTCGGAGGCCAGCACGTTTGATGTTCTTGCGGAGCTCGTTCCTCTCAATTGCGCCAAGAAAAATGTGCTCGTTCCACATTGTGTTCTGTCGGTCAGTGATAGACAAGAAGCCTTATGGGTGTCGAACTATTCAAATGAACCTGTAATGCTACCATGCGGATTGCGAATCACCTCCTTCGAACAAAATGCGAACAATTTTATATTATCTTTAAGTGACGTGAGCGTAGAACATATTCGTGCAACGCACTATACTGAGGCCAACTTTCTGAGTACGGCAAACAAGTCGCTATCATCAGAAAAAACGCTAAGTTTTGGGCGAAGTCCTTGCGAAGCACGCTACTATATTTGACTTCGCGCAGAATGAAGAGCAAATAAGTGTACCCGAGTCGCGTACTCCTCACGGGATTCACACAAAATCCGATCACCCTATCCGGCAGAAACCAAACCGTGTCTCATCTGTGGAGCACAAGGTCATTGCTCAACATGTAGAAGAAATGTTAAAGAAAAAGGTCGTGTAGCCCTTGGGCTGCCCCTGTGATTCTTGTCCGAAAGAAGAATGGTACATGGCGATTCTGCGTTGACTACAGACGGCTCAACTCTGTTACTAAAAAGGATGTCTACCCGCCTCCCAGGACTGATGACGTCATCGATTGTTTACATTCGGCATCGTACTTCTCCACGGTGGATTTGAGATCTGATTATTGGCGAATCCCCATGCACTCGAATAACAAAAAGAAAACGGCCTTTATTACCCCAGATGGTCTATTTGAATTCAATGTAATGCCTTTTGGCCTATGCAATGCTCCAGCCACGTTTGAGCGCTTCATGGACTCTATAATACGAGGACTAAAGTGGGAAGTTTGTCTTCGCTACCTGGATGACATGATAATTTTTGGTCGTACATTCGATGAGCACAACCATCGTCTAGACATTGTTCTCACCTGCCTTGAGAAAGCTAAGCTCACCTTGAACTCTAAGAAGTGTCACTTCGGCAGCCGTCAGACTATCGTTCTTGGTCACCTGGTGGACAAGCATGGGGTTCGACCCGACCCCCAGAAAGTCGCTGCAGTCAGCAGCTTCAAACAACCTCAGTCGGTACGAGAGTTGCGAAGCTTTTTGGGCCTATGCTCGTATTTCTGTCGCTTCGTGCCCAAGTTCGCTGACGTCGCTTATGCTTTGACGTCCCTACTGAACAAAAACGC